CAAATTCTTGCTCCCATGGCAGGCAAGGCTTGCAGGGTGGGCTCTGCTGTTAAGGCCACAGCGTGAGCTGCACACAGTGGGTTTGGGTTTTAAAATGCCCCGATCCTCAGATTACGACTGGGCTGAAATCCCATCCAGTTTAAAAGGTTTGTTTTCACTCATCGTTTTGCAGAATCAGTTAGGTTGAATTGTAACATACTTAACCCTTCTTTCTTCTTAATTTTTCAGGAGAAAAAAATTGGTTTCCTAGTACCCCAGTATGACTTTGAACTTGCCAAGCTTCAGCAAAGATGGCAATGATTGCCATCTAAAATTAAAAAACTGGGAGGGCAATTTTTTTTTTTTACTGTTTTATCACTGTGTCTATCTGAAATGAAGCTAAAAAGAGATCCTGGTCAAACCACCTCAGTGACTTTGCTGATAAAAGGGACAGGAGCTTGTTGTCCTCCTAGGAAAAGATAGCTATTTTATACTGTTCTCATTTGAAGTTAAGGCTGTGGAGAAAAGATTGTTTGAAAAACTAATTTTCATTTCCATATTACAAAAATAGAGCAGTCTCACAGACATGTAGAATTATGCTTCCTTGCAGATAGTAGCAACTTCTCTACTTTCGCTTTGGCATTTGATTATTGTTGCTATAATGGTGGTGTTAGTGATTTTGCTCATTCTTTGGTTCTAAACACCTTTTGTCACATCTAAGCCTTTCCTCAGCTATACAGGTGTAAATGGGTGTTACTGAGTGCAAGTGGGTACTTGTTTAATTCAGCCCTTTCCTCATGTTAATCCTAACATTGAAGTCGGGTCCATTCTACATCTTAGTGTAAAAAACTGATAGGTGATGGAAACACTTCTATTGTAAGAAATGTATGTGACAAAATACCCAGGCTTGCCGAGGGCAAATTAAGGCTGACATAGCTGCTCTTGGCAGTGTTTTCTTAATTACAGTTGTCAGCTAACTTTCTTAGCTAACAGCACCGAATTTGTGTGCTTCTAAGTAGACTTGGTATTCATTCAACTTAAAAAGCTAAAATGGCTTTTTGTCTGTGAAAGGTGTGCCTGTACCTCATTGTTTTTTCATGGATCCGCTATAGATGGTGAAAATTAGATGATAGCATCTGTAAAATATGTAGAGACCCTTGAAAATGCTCATTGTCCTTTAAGCCAGATTTCCATCACAGTCTTGGCAGGTCTGCTTGAAAAAAAAAAAAAAAAGCTGATTTTCTTCTCATTCATGTAAGTTCAAAACAATAAACATTCCAAGTTTCTTTTTCAGATGCCAAAGTAAGACTGTTACTACTACAAACATGTTTTCTAATATGTCATTAATTTACCTATTAGAAAGAATCTATCAAGGTAAAAGAACAAAAATACAGAGAAGTGCATCGTACAGATCTTTTACTTATTAGATTAAATAGTTCTTAATAATTATAACCATTGCCTGCATTCCTCAGAGAGACTTAATCCTGATATTTCTAGTCATGCGTCAGGAATGACAGCACCAAGATATAATTGATAGAAAGGAAGAGGCTTTTTTTTTTTTTTTTAAGTGTCCAAACTGGCTAAGGAAATTGTTCATACCTTCACAGTGCATTTTCTGCAAAGAAGAGTTAACCTTCTTTTCCTAATTATTGTAGACAGGGCCTTAAAAGACCTGGTTCTGGTCTGTGCATTTGGTATGGTGGCGTGCAACATTAACAGAACTTTCCTTGTTGGTGTTTCAAGGGATCTCAAGGTTAGGAAGTGAGTAAATGGAGAGAGTAAGTACCAAGAGCTAAATTAGTATTCAAGGAATATCATGAATGCTACAGTAATATCAGCTAATGTTTCCGAGTGAAAATTTGAGTCTTCGCAGATGAGGGTGGCAGTACCAGTAGAATATAACTGGATTTAATTCTTAGAAAATATTAAAATATTTATCAAGTAATTATTGGGGGAAATTCCTTCTGCAGTTTAAATTATTACATTATTATAAGATTGTATTCTAATACTTTATACAAATAGCAATATGAAAAATAACACTACTGTCCGAAATGTCAGGTTTTTTCAAAAAGATCTGGCCTACTGGAACACATGCTTGCTGACATCTGTGTGCCATTTTCATTTGATAGGTTATTAAATCTTTTGATTTTGACGCCCATTTAAGAAGAGCACCATTAAAAGGCTCCATGTTTATTACTCCACTGTATTTACTACTTAGAAAAGTAGAAATGTCTTTATCTCTCAATCTGTCCCTCTCCCTCCTGCCTTTTTCCCCTTTGATTATAGCAGCAGCCACTTGTGCAGTCAGCCGTGGTAGGGACCGACCCTGACCCACCTTGTTCTGCCCCTCGCCGCGTCTTGGGGTGATGTGACTGTCCTCCTCCTGCCACGCAGTGCAGGCTTCCTCGCCTCCACTAGTCCTTGCACCCATGCCAAGGTTCCCCAGTTGAGGGTAGCACGAGCGCCTCTGTATTGTTGTTGCTACTGCCTTTTCATCTCTGAAACAGATCAGACGGCACGTCAGCATCTTAAATGTCCTCTGGAGGGTGGCTGTAGCTGAATGCAGGAGAGCAGATGTAGATGGCTGCCGCAGCCATTTATATGATCTCTAGGCAGGCTGGTGAAAAGAGGGTCCACATGTCTGCAACAGATTTTCCTTCCCTTCCTTAATTTTTATCAAGTAGGGTAATTCTCATTGAGGATATGTTCCCTAAAACTGGGTAGCTGAAGTGTTTCAGAGTTACTGTGCTGAATACAACACGAAGAGAAATGTGGACTTAACCAAGTGTAGAGCCTTGCAAACTTGGCCAACTATTGTCTCAGCTGTAGCTCCCAGTGCTTTCGCCTTACCTTCATGCCTTTGCTGTTCCAGCTCGCAGAGTTCAGCTTGTCTCCCTTCATCACCCTCCTGGATGCTGGCAAAAGGCTACTGTCCAGTACACTGCTGCGGTAGCAGTTGCTGTCCCAGGTGTGATGCTCGTGGGGCCACCAGGAGAAAGGAATGAGCAGAGCCGCTGTTAACCAAATAAGAGTGCATGGCTGGCTTCAAAACAGGCAATGGAGAACATTTACAGTGAAAGTCACTGCGGGGTGGTTTTCCCTTTTTTCTTTCAGATACTGTTTTTCACAGCTCTACAGCTTGACTCATTCCCTCTTGTAAGGCTTCTCGCCATGTGGGTCTCCCGGAGTCGAAAGAGCTGCTGTAGTTTAATTCCACGTTGAAATGCTCTGTACAAAGGAGGTGACATTTCAAAGCTGAGATCTGAATCGCTTAATTTGCTAAATAGCCATTCATTAAAATGCTCTGCAGCAGTGGACAGTGCTGAACTGTGGTGTTACATCGCTTGCTCAGGATGCAGCCTTGCTGGATATAGGGATTTTTACTTGCTCTCCCAGACTGTTATTAGTCTGACTTCTAGTAGAGGATTTCATACTTCCTTTGAGCTGGAAGGTATCTGTCTGTGTAGCTTTATATATGTGTGTGTATGTGTGTAAATATATGTACACACACTGCACAAAAACGTATTCATCCACAGCAACAGGTGGTGCTGGCAACACCTGTTGCTGGGGTCACTCAACACTCCAGTATTAAAACCCTAATTTTAGTTGCTTATAACTTTTGTCAAACTTAAACATTTGGGTTGCAATGTTATGTGCCAGGTGTCTGCCTTAGGCTGATCTGGGGGAGGGGGGTGGGGAGAGGAATTTCTCAGCAAAACTGTTACTGCCCGTTCAGGGAGAAGGGGCCAGGGCACTGTTTTGCCTGTGCTGAAAAATGAACTATTGATGGTTGAGATGTTCCAGCAGCTTCCCTTGTCCAAAGCCAAAAGTTGGCAGTGGAGACCCCCTGCAGCTGGGCATGTCTTTTGCCAGTGTTACGGAAATTTGCTGTTTTACTGAGAACGCACCCCTGTCTGGCTAAATTACGGGCCTGTGAAAATGCTTGGTAGAAGGTTGTTGACAGCTGCCCACCAGGCTGCCTCCATCATGTCCGTTCCCAAACAGCCATGCTGCGCTGGTGACCCTTGGGGCTCAAGATGCCCGTGAAGCAGCAGAGTAAGCCTCGGAGTCGGAGCATGGAGCAAAGCAGGCTGCTGCACGCAGGGGGACCGGTCCTCAGAGCAAATGCAAGCAGCTCCACTTGTGCTTACACAGTGTGAATAAATAGGAGGGAATGGCTGGCTGGAACCCAGAGGGACTGGTGATGAAGGAAGGGACTGATGGGCTGAGAGTGGTAAGAGTGAAGGACACAGGGTTTTAAGAACTGTGTGAGGAGAAATGCTGAGGAGACAGACTGGTATGATAGGGCAGGTAGACTGAGAAAGGATAGAGCATAGCTCCTGCCAGTCCATGACCGCAGGATTTCTGTGGTCCCTGCCTAACCAGCTGAAACGTTCCACTGATAACACATTGCAGCTCCTCAAACGGGTGATCTACACAGAAGCACAACTGTACTGCTGCCAGTGGTTCCCCTATTCGAGTGTACAAACTTGAACCTACTAATGAACACTGAGGAGTGTGCATGGTTTCATCTAATGCTGTTTCAGTAGGCGGAGTTGTTCAATTTACTTCTGCTTAATAGAAACATCAACATTTTAATTTTTTTCTCTTTTTTAGTATTCTTTAGCTTTTGCATGCTCAACCTGCACTTGAAGGATTATGTGTGCATGCAAATCCCTTTGTAAATACTGCAGTTTTTTCTTAATGTATAATCTTGCTATGGAATCTGTACTACATTTGTAGCTCACAGTATGCACAATCACATGAGTAAGTCAGTCATAGATACCGAAGTGGTCTGTGGTTTCGTCTAGGTTGCAAGAACATTTGAACAGACCGCTTATATTATTTTTAAATATTGTCCTTTCTTGATCGTTGTGGGAATTAGAAACAAACTGCCTGTTGCAAAATATTCTGTTTCATATTACTTAGCATTTTCCCATAAAAATGAAGAAATGCCACAGAACCTGATCAAAGTTTAAAGTCAGTTTGTTATTGAATAATGATGATTTTTTTTTTTATAGGTAAAGCCTCAGCCAAGAAACTGACAAAAAAGGTGAGCAAAATGTTCCTTTCCTTCTTCAAAAGAACTTGCATTCTTTCTATTACTCAACTGAATAGAGTTCGCTTTCAAAACTGGCTTTATATTTTCTTGTTTGTGTTTTTGAAGGAGGTAGATGCTGCACTGCTATGTGTTGCCAAAGCTAAACCAGGACCGACCTTTTTTAGAGAGCTTGGTGATAAAGGTAATGAGTACTTTTGATACCAAAAAATACATCTTGCTTTTAATCTCGTCAGATGGTATGAATTGAATGTATTTTTAAAGAAGATTTCATGGATTTGATTTCATCCCCATCTAGCCAGTAGCTGCTTCCTTGGCAAATCTCTCAGTTATGCAAGAGGCATACAGAGAATAAAAGGCATAAAGAGGCAGGGCTGGGAATTTCGAGGTGCAGGAGGAGACATGAAAGAAATCAGAAAGCCTATTTGGAGAAGAGAAAGGGCTAAAGGAATGACTTCACCATAAAATGGACTTTCAAGGATTGTTAATAAGCTGCTGTCTCACTATATAACTTGGGTGCACAGAAATAAGAATAAAAATAAGATTTGTATCCAGTTATGTAAAGTGGCATCCCTGATTCCAAGAGCAGGTGAACTTATTTCTCCCTTTTCAGGAGCTCCATGGCTCTTCACAGCACCCATGTGCTTCGGATTCTTTTTACCCAGAATTTCCCCCTTATATTGGGCTACATAAAGAGAAAACTCTGAGAGCTGGGATATTGTTTGTGTAACAACAGGGAATTAAAGAACACCAAATAAACACCTCGTTAGCATAAATTAATTGAAAATTGTTTGAAAACAAACAAGAGGATCAAGGAAACCAAATAGATGAGTAATTAACCATTTCACCAGGAACAAAGACTGGAATTCCCAAACTAATGAGAAAGACTGGCAGTGTCTATTCACAAACTTTCTGTATCGTAGAGTTCAGCCTGAATCTCTTATTCCGTGGACGTTTCTGGAAAATAAAGCTGCCTTGCACTGCTGCAGTTCCTTGGCAGGCATGAGCCACGCTCTCTCCATGGGCAGCAAATCCCTGGGCACGGCTGGCAGCTTTTGCAGGAGAGCAGCCCTGGAGCTCAGCCTGCAGCGTTCTGCCTGCCCTGTGGCCTCTTCTGCATGCGGTTCATTTCTTGCATCCTTGTGCAGACGTGGAGGGGTCTTCAGCTGGGTGCCTTGCTTGTCAGTCTGCTCCTGCAAGCCCCAGCATACCCCAGCAGCCCTGAAAAAGCTCTGAACGAGTTGGAAATTTTTTTCCTATTCTAGGAGGTCTGGATTTTGTATTGAATAGTCATTCCCCGCCTTTTCAAATAATCATCATGTGCTTTTCCAGGATTGGGTCTAAAGAATTCCCAGTCTTTAATTCTTGGATATTCTTTCTCTACCCCTGCTTTTTTAGAGCCTTTCTTTTTCTAATGGTTGATTCTGCAAATCCCCAAAGCAGTCTGCCTGGGAAAACCAGGAATCCACCAACCGAAAGTGAAAACGTAGCATATCAGCGCAGCCTCCTTTTCCTGCGCCTCTCCCAGCTGCCTGCTTGGCAGAAAGTGGCTCGGTGATATGCTCAATCTGTCATCGTTTGCATTTCTAGACAAGGCATTGACCTCCCCTTGCTTAGGACTGTGGGTCTGTATACTCCGTCCTTCAAAGGTCAAGCAGGAGTTTGAGACGATGCAGGAACATTCAGTGCAGTCATGCGTAAGTCTCCACAACACGCAGAGGTTTTACAGTTTTTGGTCATGATGCCTCTTTAGTGACTTCGATGCTTTTGCTTTGGGATACATTGTTATTACATTTTTAAAATGTAAATATTTATGTGTTAAATACAGCTTTTACAAGTACCAGAATAATGAGTCTACACCTGTTGCACTGTTTAGCTGAGATTATTTTAACTACCTTCAAATTGTTATTTAAATATCAAATAGAGGGAAAACTGTCATCAGTCCAGTTTGTCAAATGTAACGCTAGGGCATTCTGCCTTCTAGTGGGCAGTTTTAAAATTCATGTCATATTTTGTGGGTATACTTATGATTTATTCAGCAATAAGAAGAATGTACTGTCAGCATTTGCTATAAAGTTTGCGGGCAGAGATTTCCAGGGAGGGATAGGGAAGGCTCATTTAGTATTAGAAAAGGACAGTATTTTGCCAATGCTAACTGCAAATACTTGGCTGCAAGTATGCTGAGTCATTCATCAGTATGCGAAGCTTTTATCTTTTAAAATTTGCTTGGACATTAACATAATTTTTTTTTTTGAATTTGCAGCATCACATCTTTTAATTTGAATAGCTTTATAATGATGACTGTAGAATAAAAAGGAAATTACCAAAATATTTAATCTACTTTATGGATACAATAAATTGGCCATTCACTACAGGTAGCAAAAGAACAATAAAGTTAAAAGAATTTTTATGAAAATGAGTCCACAAGTTAAAAAATCTTGTCTCAAATTATTTTAGTATAATCAGTCTGCCAGAAAATGCCAGACAGGCTGTGGATTTGTTTTAGGGCACTGAGACAGATTTTAAAGTACAATCAAGAAATTTTTTTTACATATTTTTATTATATTCACATCCACTATAGTGACTTTTCAGTCAGCTTAAGATAAGATAATGAAAAGTCTGTCTCGCCCCTGCCATTTCTTGCAAGGCTGTTCTTTCCAGCCCTCTGCAATTTGAGGGAATAAAGCCATCGTGCTTCTCCCTTGAGCCAGTAAGCAGGGTGTTTAAATTGGTGTTTTCTTTACATCCTACCATCTCTATATAAATTTTGCAGATTCTTTCTGCAAAATTTTATAAGGTACAATGTTCCCTGTCTACCCATATAGCTAAAACTCTTCAGGTGCTCAGCATTTTGTATCTCAATTATTACAACTTTTTTTTTTCTCTGACTTTAACAAACATAATCTGCCATGTTAATATAATTTCAAATGCTTTGATAAAGATGTTTTTCTTACATTATTCCTTTGAGTGTGTCATCTCTTCTTTTGTATCCCAACACTGGGCTCTCTCCTTGTTCTGTTTTATCTACCATAAGCTGCTTGTCTTCACCTTCCAGGTCTTCCCTAGACTTTCCCTGGGCAGCACATCTCCAGACAGCTGAGAGGCAGACTCCCACTTCCCCTTGGCCAGGGATGCTGGCCTTCATCACTCGCTGGTTAAATTTTCAGGCAGGGATCTTTGTGCTGATACCACTCCAGTCCACAACTGGGAGGTGTTTTCTATATAGAGTTGAAAAGTTACCTCCTTGTCTTTCTTTATATTCTTCCTTTGAGCATTCTTTTGCTGTGACACACACAAAACAAAATTAGGGATTAGGAATCTTGGTCACTGCCCATCGGACTATTTGCTTGATTTCTTTTCCTCCCCCATTTGTTTCTATCCATTTTTTTTCCTTGTCTTACTCTTTGGCATATAAGCTAAAAAATGGGGTAGGAGTTCTTTCTCTGTTTGTTTGGTTTTGAATTTGTAGAAATCCTGGACACTTTGTCTCGGAACACGATTCCAAGTTTTACAGCAATGCAAATAATAATTTACATTCTTGCAATGGCAGTAACCCTAAAACTTGTAAGCAAAACTAAATCTTTGAGGTGAAAGTATTTTTTCTTTCCACCATGTATTGTATGACTGTGGTACTGTGCTGATTTACACATGATGCGTGCTGGATAATAAGGTGAATAGCACTATTTTGATGGAGAGGAAAACAGAGATATGGAGTTGGCAACAGGATTAGATCTCTCTTTAGCTAAGACTTTGTCTCTTACATTCAGCAATTTAATATTTCTAAACTCTGGTACTTTAAAAAAAGTGTTAAGTGACTATCTGAGGTCAAATACAAATGCTGTTGGCTCTGCATAGTAATTTATCAGAAGTTAATTGTTTATCACTGAAGCTTAAGTGGGTTCCTTATCTATCAATTAACTAAATATAAATTATAAAAAATAGTTTATCTTCGCACAGATAGGCATGTTTGAACTTCATTATTTTAAGCAGCTTCAGCATTATACAATGTTTAGCTCACAAGTTAAAAGTGGCTCAGTTATTTTGAAAAGTGATTTATAAAAAAGCCCTTTACATTTTTTCTCCAAACATTATTGCAGGGCAGATGGTTCAGATTCTGTTGTTTAACCACACTCATTATGCGCTCTCTATCTTTAGGTCCTACGCTCTATTTTGACGCTATCACATCTTTGTGTTTGTTCAGGCTTTTCACTTAAGGCGGTATTTCAAAGGAAAACACTGGAATTTTCCTTCAAAAGGGGGGAAAATACTTTCACCTTGTAGAAAGGACATGTTCCTATTTAAAAAAAAAAAAATAGAAGCCTCCTCTTGGCACGCAGCCCAGCAGTACTATCAGCACAATCTAGCAGCTTGGCAGTTTTGCATGTTGCCATGTTCCCCTTGAGAATTAGAGGGAAGCTGTTCTCCGCCTTCACGAGCCTGCCAAAGGATGGAGGACTTTGATCCTTCAGGGTAACGTTAGAGTAGTTCTCCTCCCAGGTACTAAATGTGACAAAGCGCACTTAATTTATTTGCCTTTTATATAAACATTGAATGTTTTCAGTGAGAATCCCAAGATTTAGTGTAGGCCTTTTATTAATACCAACTAAACCTTACTTTCTTGATTAGACATGAACCTTGATGAGTCTCTGGATAGGGAATTTTACCTTCAGAGCACTAAAAACAGAAGTAAAAACTTTATTAAATAATAATATGGCTTATTTTAATAACCTATTTAATATGACGTTAAACTATGGGGTTTATATTTATAACATTTGATCTTTCAAGTCTTGCTATATTTTCTTTTTGCAAGTCAATTTTTAACTCTTATTTCAGGGTTGATATCTTATGCAGAGTACCTATTTTTGCTGACAATCCTTACGAGTAAGTATTATATATTTAAAATACATATGCATAAATACTCTATTACTAACAGCTTTCCAGGAACTTTTTCTGATATTTTTAACTTGTAAATTTCTGCATTATAGTAAAATGTAAAGAACTATTGTATATAGAGTGATAACGCATTAATATAAATGGAGATAGCTTTAAATGATTGCAACTTACTTCCACATTGTCATCATTGGTCCATAGCAGTACTTCAAAAATCATGATAATCCCTCCACCATGGGATCAGTAAAATCTTTCAAGAGACTTTGAGAGAGGGGAGACATCGGTTACAAGACCACATAATAAGAGGAAGAACAACAGTGGGGGAAGATAAATAATTTGTCTTCTGGATAGTAGGTTTAGTCATTTTGAACAATGAGACCTTAACATTATAGCTCATGCAGTGGTGTAAAAAGCTGTTGTGTCTGTTGTTGCCTATTGCTCCTGTGTTCAGATATGCAATGGATGGTATACATAGGCAGCAGACTTCCGCAGTGTCCTTTTGTTTGACATTTTAGTCCTTTTTTCCCCCCCTCTGTTCCTTTTGACTTTATTTCCTCCAAGTATTTTGCATATGTTTCTGCCCACTCCTTTGCCTCCTTCCTTTTTCTCTCTCAGACACTTTTTAAAAAAACTTTTGTTTGGTACTTGCTGTATCTGCAAACAGCAGGCATTTTTTTATTATGTTTGGAAGTGATCTTGGATTTTCTGGGTTTCCTCACCCATACTTTGTGCCACAGTTGCCATCTCCCTGTGCTGTTCTGATGAAGTAGGTGATGCTGGAAAATACTGAGACTGGAGGTAAGATGTGGGCAATGAGCATTAATCAGTGAGACCCATAGACTGGTAGTGAAGTGGTCCACATGCATGTCCATGTAACAGTCCACATGCAGTCATGGTTGACTGACTTACACAGGTCTAACATTTTAAGCAAGGGGCAAAACCAGTCATACTAGATCTCATGGTATCAGTGGATGGGGAAAGGTGAGAAGGAAGCAGTCGTTCTTACCGCGATGTACTGTAGATGCTTGAGCTTCACCACTTCCATGGCTGCAATGTCCACGGCAAAAGGCTTAAAAAAATTGATAAATTTTCCTTGCTCTAGAGATCTACTCTGTCACAGTGTAGTAAGAACAAGTAGTGTTGGTCTCCAGAGTCCAGTCTTCACAGACAATGACTGTTGGTACACACCTTTTGCACAGTTTAGGTAGGCCTTTTACAGCTTACATCATTGCTCAGCAGAACTGCATTGGTTCCTACTAGGAACTTCCAACTAGTACACAATATAGTATATTGTGTATAATATATATATAAAAACTTATTATATATAAATTAATATAACCTGTTTACTATACAAATGTACTGTTTCACCAGTACTGACTGTCCAGTGCTACACACAGCCTTAACATGAGTTATACCATGTGTTCAAGTGCTTTTTAAAATCAGAAATAATATAAGTCCAGCTCAGTCAGAAAGCTGATTTAAAAATACTTGTTGCAACTCAATGAAGAGTGATTTTTTTTTAAAAAAAAGCACAAACACATTGTAACTTCAGAAGAATACCTTAATTGAAATTGCAGAAATAGGTGCCAAAGATTCTATTTCTTTAAAAATCTGTGGCAGCGGAAAGTAAATTCGTGCTGATTTGTTGGCTGGAACAATTAGAAAATTGAAGCAGTATCAGAGCAAGTTGTTCCACTTCTCCAGACAATCAAGTAACATTTTTTACAGAATTTATATGGGAATGTATTGAACTGCAAAAACAAAGGCACCTTTTGATGCAGGATAAAAATGCAATGCTAATGTCGCTGCTTTGGTTACACAGAGGGTTATCGTACCAATCAGTTTGAAAGCAAATGTCAACAAGTGTTAGTGCTTCTATCTTTGCCTAACAAGTATCCCATATCAGTCAGCCCCCAGTCTCTCTCGCTAGTGAGAATTCATGTGAAATTTCTAAAAGCAGCTATTAATATTTAAATGACTTCTTCTAAGTCACCAAGAGAGCAATAGGGAAACAGGAAAAGTGTCACCAGCTTTCCAGAGTCTCGGTTCCAGCACACTGCTGACCAGACCACGCTGCCTGTTATACAAAAGCACCATCTGTAACAACACTGAACGTGAAAATGTAATTTTGTGGCAGACCAAGGCTTTATTTTGCCCCCTCTGATCCCCTTTTCTCTTGTCTGTGTGCCTTGTATCGTCGTTATCCTTTTTCTTCCAGTGCTGTACTGAATTTCATTTCCAGCAACTGGTTAATGGAGCTTCTGGTGAAAGAGCCCAGGAACTGAAATTGTCACCTTGACTCAAAGCTTCTTTTCAATTAGCCAGTCGCACAAGTTGACAGCTTGGTCAACGTAGGAGTGGTTGCAGGGGAAGCCCCTAAGTCTAACCTGCACTCACAGCTAAGATGAAGCTCTTCTGTTCAGATTTTGGAATTTTGCCTGATTCTAATTAAGTACAAATATATCTGAGGTAGTCTTTGAACTATGCTTATTTTACGAATGCATACCTTTGGGGTTACATCATATCAGATAAGTATGTCATCTCTGAACAGTATAAGCAGCTTTAGGTCCTGTATTTTCAGTAACAGCTCTTATCTGAAAATTGCAACACAGATGGTATGAATTACTATTAAATACATCAATTACTTTTATTCTCTAAATATGTTATAGGATAGGCTCTTCTTGCTTTTGTACTATTAACACAAGTTTAAGCCACTTTTGATTATTACAGCCCGGTTGCTGGGGAAGAGCTCTGCTATGCAGATTGCAACGGTATTTATAAAATATCCCTGCATCACAAGATTGCTCCACAGAGAATGTTAGTTGGCTGCTGAAGATGTAGTTATTTCTAAAATATAAAAATAGTACTTTCTTTAACCATCTTGTTGTCACTTAAAAGGAACAGGATATTTCTTGAATTTGTTCCCTTTGCAGAAAGATTGTCTAAAAAAAAAAAAAGCAAGACTTAAAACTTTACAGGATGGAGCTGGAAGAACGCATTTCAAAAGAAAAACTCTGAAAACATTATAGAGTTTTCTAGAGATACTGCTTCACTGCCCTCATGAGCCCAACATTGTTCTTGTAAACACGAATGTATTCTAGAGACAAGAAGTCCCTGGCTTTCAAATTAATGCCTGACTTGACTGGGTTGTGGCATTAATTCACCTGCTCCAGAAATGACTGGGGTAAGCGCTTGCTACTGCAGTGAACTGTAACTACATTTCAGTGGCATGCTGCTCCTGTGTGGGCTTGCTAATGAGCAAGGCCACCTCCTGGAAGCAAAGTAAGATCAGGAAATTGTGGGAAGGAGCTCAAAACACACTGTGTTTTTATAGCGCCTGCAAGACTCAGAACTCATTACATTTTTTGTGTTGAAAAGAAACATCCACTCGGTGAAGGAAATGCAGGGTAGAATTGTATAAAATTCCTGAAAAAAATCAGCTTGATGGGAGTTCTACAAAACATGCTTTTGTCCAAAAAGGCCAGAAAGAGTGGTTTATTACTTCCCAGTAACATTTGAGTACATTGTTTAGGGAGGGAGGAGAAGGGAAGGAGAAAAAAGGCCTGAGGCTAACACAGTAGGAGCAGGAGCCGAGAGACCTGGCTGCGATTACAAGATCAGTCTGTTTGCTAGGGAAGACTAGGGAAGACTGCAAATACTGGCATACAGTAATGCCTGCAAGACGTACCTGAGGAGCACACTAGCTCTTTCACACAGTTTGGGAATAACTACTGGTTTCTCAAGGCACTTTCCAGTCTTCCCACCTGAAAAGGAGCTCTAAGAAACAAGGCAGAGCTAGACTTCAGAAGTGACATGGGATTATGGAGACATCTACAGAGAATATCTAAGACCAGTACAGTACGACATACAACATTTTTACAGTCACTGGGATCAGATGGACATTCGTGGCTGTGCTTAGGCACTGCTGGCATTTCTTGCTTTGCCATTGCGTTAATTATCCTTGAAATGGTAGTAAAAAGGTATTTTAAAAGTTTGCTTATATTGGAGGAGGTGCATATGGTTTACTGGAAATATGTACGTGCATAACAATGGAGAACTGAACCATAGGCAATATTCCTTTTGCATTAAATATTTAAGTACTTGTGTGTGTGTGTTTACAATAAAGTTCTTTTGCAATTTGTTGCAGAACCCCAGACTGGATTTCAGATTGCCTTTAAAATGTTGGATACAGATGGCAATGAACAAGTTGAAAAGAAAGAATTCTTTAAGGTATGTGTATTTGTATGCATATTCATTTTAAAGCATTTAAATAGTTTCATGGGTTATATTTGCTAAATGAAGATTCATTAAAATCTTTAAGCCTATTTTTCAATCCAATCTATGATCACATATTTACTAAAATACTTTATGTGACAGGACCACATACCAAAACATTGCTATAGGAGTACTTTTTATATTTGAATCCACTTTTATGTTACCTTTGACTTGTATCTAAGAATCTGTTACTGAGAAAGTAGGAGTTGGTGCATATCCCTTAATCCCATGAGCTGTTTTAAATAATCAGCTGGAAAAGTTTTATTTTCTAACTATTTTGAATATATATTTTTTTAAATTCAGCATCCTTTCTTTGTTTTTATTGATTTTGATTGCTGTTGCACAGGTTTTTTACCAATTCACGCTTTGGAGAGTAACAGCAGTTTTTCCCACATTTTGTATAAAATATGGGGAAGAAAGGCAGGTGCTTAAAAAAGGAAGAAAATCTTGCTCTGATGTTTTAAAGAAGAATAGGCTTAATTATGTAGCTTATTCAACTTTTAAGTATTGAACAGTATTTAACTGTTAACTAAATACTTCTTGTCAAAAGTGGAATGTAAAATTAACAAGCGTAGTTTTTAATAGACTCACTTAGCTTATTTCAGATCCTTCCTTCATATTGGAGGTGGCTAGAGAGACAATTCTATAAGAAGCTGAAATGGCTACTATAATGCAAATTATTTTCTGTCACTAGGATAAAGTTAAAGGCGATCGTTAATGCAAGAACTCTAAAGAACCATAGAATCTAAAACTTATAAAGATGCATCTGTTGATAGAGAGATTGCCAAAAATGTATTTACGTGTACTTCCATAGCCCTGAACTCTGAATTAATGGTACAATAGCTGTTAGAATGTTTTGCACTGATAGCCATTTTTTCAGAGACTGTCTCTTACGAAGATTGCCATTGATGAGTCTTACTTAAATATATTTTAAAATATTTTTAAAATACTTTTGCAAGTAGTAGACTTAGTAGTGCTATTTGAAAATAATACTTGAAATTAGACTATTTCCCAAGACAATGTTCCCAGAAGCCCCTAAGTGAGCCTGCAGATACCCTGCACTCATTTGTTGCTACACAAAATCTTTTGAGCTTGAAGAATTTCCTCTGTTAAAATGTTAATTATTCTGCTGATTTAAAAAGAAATCAAATTCTAACTAAAGCCTTTATTTTTAACCTACTAAACCTGGTACAATCCTAGTGAATTGTTTTCAGAGTAGCAGTGCCCTGATTACCGAAATACGTCTGTTATGGCTGTATTGTTCAACTACAAACCTGTATGTTACAGGGGGAAGTAAGTCCATGAACACAAGTGAATGTGTTCAGCCTGTAGTGCCTGTGCACCAAAATGCAGAATTCCTTTAAATAGGTACTCTGTCAGTTAAGCAAATAAGGAGGAGATTCCTGCAGAAATACAGCACAACTCTCTTTGTGAGATGTACAGTATGTCATATATTTAATATCCATTACCCATTTCAGGTAATTTTAATTGAATCAGCCAGTATGAACAACAGAAAGTCATCAAAAGTAGAGGTGAAAACATTATACAAATTATTAAAAATAATTTGATTCCTGGAGAGGCAATCAAATTAAATAAAATTTATTCTAGTTAGATTGTTACTTTGCATTTCCTTTATGGGCTGTATTGATAAATAGATATAGAGTGGTAAAATAAACCCATATAAATGACAGTGTCAACTCACAAGAATCATTAAATTCAAAGAAGTCCCACAGGATGCAAGCTAGTCAAAAGATGAGTTTTCTCACATGACTGTTTACTTAACATTTATAAGCGGTGACTATTTTAAAGAAAAACTTGTTTTTAAACCTAACCTACAAAAATCAAAACTTCTGGAATGTAAGAATCTGGAAAAATGTGTGTGTGTGTTAATCTCTGTATACTCTAGTTCTGTATGCATCATAGAAAGCTTCAGTATATCTAAAGATCAGTAAATTATGTGACTAATCTGTCCCTTGTCCTGGTTGGCATCTCAGGAAAATACTGAACTATTCTGCTAGTTATTTCCACACTATATTTGACAATATTATCGGGTAACGTATGTAAGGAAAGGACGGTGGAAAAGAGTAGCGAAGCAGCAGTAATTAGGAGGCAGTTACTGTAAGCAGGATGTGGTGGGAAAAGAAATTTCAGTGCTACTTCATTCTCTTGCTTTGTCCCCTCTACTGATCAGACATCTATGTATGTCTACGTTATCTGTTGATCTACACTGTAAATTCTTTGAGGTAAGAACTTTGCCTTTCTGTTTACAAAACGTCCATCTTTCTTTTAATTGTGTATATCTGAACTCTCAGGCGTTACTGGATAAACAGGCACAAGACATGCCACATATATCATTCAGGAAAGGGAGAAGGGTGACAAGCAGACTCTGCAACCCAAGTTGTTAGTGGCCCGCAGCACGTGATGGAGATAGGCTGTTCAGACCTGTATGGATCAGACACTGAAGGAGTGTAAGATGCAGGAGATTTCCCAGTAGATTCAGTGCTTTTCACTAACATAAATGAATGTTCAGGGAAGATCTTGAATGCAATTCCATGTTTTGAAGGAGGGAGTTTATCTTGCCTTCCTTAGCCTTCTGTGCACATTGCCCTCCTTTCCAGTAGGAGTTTAAAGTCTGTCCCTTCCTACTTCTTTCTATTCAAGCCTGCCTATTTTTAGTTACTGCTTCATCCATGTTTCAGTGGTAAACATTCACAATACAAGAGACATTTCAGTACTAGGGCCCAGAATCACAGCAACCTGTAGTTTGAGGTAGGTATCCACAGGGATTTGTTGCTTTGCCCTGTAACTCCAGGGTGAAGAAGATGTGGTAGAAATGGCATGTTCACAGATGTTAGTTGCCATCCTTTAATCAGCCCCTGCCAGAGTGCAACAAATTGTTTCTCAGAGCCGTATTATCTGTATCTTTGTGAGGACAGCAAGGTAATTCGGTGAACTCTGTGCTTCCAAGACATTCACGTGAGACTTGGTGAGGGGGATTTCCAGGCACGTGCACATAATAACCCATGAACATTAATCTGAGACCTCCCATCAAGAATGAGGCTATCAAAGATCCCAAAATCCCCAACAAGTGAGGAATTTCCCTAACTCTGTCCTGATGAAAGATTTCTAAGTAGACTTAATGACAGTTCAAAACTATTGGGAATGGAGGTAGGGTAACTGATGGCACACACAAGAGCTGTGTGATTTAGACCTTCTAAATAGACTGTCTTTATGCACTTGTCCTGGACAACAGATACCACAAAAAACTTGTAGGGGTTCATCTAGGGCTGAATGAACCAGGACCTGACACTGTCAGGAGTTGTGGTGGTTCGGTACAGAACACTTCTGCGGTCCTAGAACATCCACCAGCACTAACTTCTCTTAAACAACTGGAAGATGCAAAATCACCTTTTCTTTTTTTAAGACTGACATAGCCTTTCTGCCAGCTCTTGTCTTCTTCAGAAAAGATTACTTCTTAGTATGTCTTTACTAAAGAAGCATCAGTTGTGCATAATAGATCTCATTATCTTTGAATTAGCCATTAGTATCCTCCAGTGATGAACAGATGCAAATATTAAATACAGGTAAATGTTACATGGAGCAATTGAGTATTAGAATCCAGTTCTTGAGGACAGAATTCTTCCTGTGTAAGTAGTTGCTGCACTGTGCTGGAAAAATCAGCAAATGACTGGAAATAGTTTCAAGCACTATAAGGATTTTCATACAGTGTAAGAAAACAATAAACTAAATCTTCCAGAACACTTGTGAAAAAAAAACTATACTGTGTATCTGTGTTCGTTAGTAGTCTCTGCAGATTTTTTAAGAGTCACTGAAAAATAAAATCCAAAAGGCAAAAATTGTATTTTCTCTTATTTGGAAAGTATTTCAGTTGTATTTCTTGTGTGTGAGCAAAAGATGGATTTTTCAGGTAAGAAAAAATGTAATTTTTCAGTGAGAGTTATCAACAAGCAGTTGTGGTTTTATCCAGAGCTCTATATTGCTGTTTTGCCATAAAGAAATTTATAATGCTTTTACTCTACTAGTCAATTGTTCTGTAAGTGGTCAAAAATAAGAAGAATTTAGAGAAACTTGGAAGAACTGGTATTGTTTAATTGTCTTGTTACAATGTTTGTTTTGATAAGCACTATCAAGGCACGCCATTTAAAAATAATAATGAAAAGTAACTGTCCTGAGGAACTCAAAGACTGAGGCTATAAAAAAAAAAAAACAGAACAGGTGAAGTAGTCAAATTTTGAAGGCCAAGGGAAGACCTTTGGCAACACAAACAGTTAGCAGTTTTTTCCTACTCACTACTTGGAATCCCATATGGCTTCTCCGAACAACTTAACAAAAAAAGTTAAAAAATAAAGCCCTAAGAAGATATTTGAAAACCCCACAAAATAATGGCTATGCAAATTTGGTCATGGATTTTTTTTCCCCAGTTTCACGGTTGCTTTATTATTTCTTTATTTTTCCCCATTTTTCCTCATCTAGCTCCATAGACCTTCTGACTTTTTTAAACTCTAGATTTGTGTAGAAATAAGGAATGTTGATTTTTATTTCGAAATACTGAAACCTCTGAATTTCAGAAGGAATTTTAACAGATAAATTCCTCATAGTCAGGCTGAGGAATCACTCAGAAATGTTTGAGAAGCAAAGCCGTAGCTTCAAAAACCCTGAGCTTTAAAAGCATCTTTCCTAAAGTCTCCAAATCCAGAGTGCTCAGTGTAAGTCCATATCTATACCTGATATGTAATAAGCCCCTTGTTCTTTCATTTTTGCTGTCCTTTTGAGGATTCATGCCATCGTCTGTGAAAGGTAGGTATACCTTGCACTACATTAAATCACACATTCTTGTGGCAGTGTTGACCTCCCAAGCTAAAACACAGTCAAAGAAACCTTGCAGCTGAGATATACTTGCAAATTAATGCACTTTCTATATTACCTTAAAGCTCTACTTGGGACAGTGGAAGTTATGTTTCTAAATGTGAGTAATTTCCGTACTTCTAAAAATCTTCTTAGCTAGCACATTTATTTGTGGAGTGGAGGGGAAGCTCAAACCACATTCTGCCTAATGCCAGTTCTGAAAATACATTTGCTTATTTAATTACGTTATTCTTTGCTGTTAGTTGTATAGTACCTCATTCGAACAGGTATGTTGTTCACGTCTAGAAGATCATGTCCATAGCAGAACTGTGTAAAGCTGTCTGGGAGGACAGCACAAAAATCACAGGATAATTTTTATTTCCCGAATGACCCTTGGTGTTATACCTCTGAGTTTCAAAAATTTATGGAGTGAATGCTAAGTTTCTAGTGCAAGAAAATCTTCTCTAAAAATAGAGTGAGCACTGGGTTGCAAGAGGTAGATTCATATGCTCTGCTCAACTATATTAACCACAGTAGATAAGAAATTCCTAGCAAAAAGTATGTCTGAATAGCAAAATATCCTTAAATGTGCAAATATTTTGTCATGATTAGAGAACCTTGCAGAAATGTAATGACTTTATAATTAAGGCAAAATTAATGCAAGTTTCTGAAAAAGGAGACTCTTGTAAGACCAAATTTGTAATTTTCCTGTGTTTTTTTTCATGTTTTGACAAATACAGCTACAGAGAATCATTGGGAAGGAAGATGATTTGAAAACAGCTGGAGATGAAACAGTATTTCGGGTATGAAATAGAGATACATTTTTCTTTACAAAAGCATTGTTGTGAACTTTGTTGCTTTTTCAGAGTTTTTAGATAAGTATATAAGCATCACTATTAGTGCTTTAATTAAATGAAAGTGCATGATTTGTTAACTGTTTTCTAACTGGGAAAGAAAAGTGTTTGTAATTTCCTGGTGAAATGTATGCAGTTGATGTATTTTATTACTGTGTGGTCCTTCTGTTATTTAATTTCTGTAAGCTTCCATTTCAAAAGAATTCTCTTTATGAAAAACTCAAAAAAACCTCTGTATGACCATATGGGAAAAGATGGTTTTCCAAATAGAAATTGTTACCTTAAACTTACCTAAGTGCTGCTGTTGCAGTAATATCAGCTTATTCTGAGTTTGTTTGAAATGTAATTGCTGTCATTGAGGTGACAAAGGCAAGGATTACTTTAGTTAGGTCCGCTTCCAGAAGGAAATGGCTTAGATGCAGACCAGAAGGAGAAACAGTCTTAGAGTATGATCTTCCAACAGGATTAGAAGTTTCACTGGATTGCAGACCATTAGCAAATGGCAAATAGAGCTTGTCAGTGAAAGGAGCAGGTAAATTCCCACTCTCAGGCCGTTTTCCCCTTAATCCTGCCAGCGTAACCTACCTTCTTCCCCGAGGGGAGCCTGCTACCTGCCATCTTCAGTCTCTAGTTAGCACAGAGACAAGATGTTCTGTAGCCTGGATGAGGTTGAATGAGACTGAAAACAGAGGAGGGAAAGTCTTGAGCATACTGAAAACACCTCAGAAGAAGCTGAGGAACCGGGGCGAAGGAGGGGGAGAGTACAGATGGGTTATCTCCAGCTATCACTGTAAGATGCTGCTTACATCAGCAACACTACTGTTGTTGCATGCTTAAATTGCATGGTGTAGATGAAGGATATTTTTCTCACCACAGACTTGCTTTCATTTCTAAACTGAAAATGGGTAATTAGGCATGGGGCAGCGACTGCTGATGTTGGAAGCATTCAATAAGAAATGTATACAGGGCTCTGCTTTATAAACCTATCATGCATCAGCATTTTCTACAAAGAGTTGGTCCAGCTCGTGTTCTTTACTTTTTCATCTGCCTCGTTATTCGTAACACCTTTAATATTTACTAAGCATAAACAAAAACTGTCTTCTGATACATAAAGGTTTTGCTCCCTCAATATGCATCCGGAGTTCACTTAAAAATTGTTTGACTGGCTAACAACCATCTCCTTTCTTGAATCTATTCATCAGTCACCAGATTAAAATAGCGAAGATTAATAGGGTTGTCTGCTCCTCAAAACCGGTTTCATTTGAGACTTAACTGCCATGACAGTGAAAGAAAAAGGATCTGTATTCTGCATGAATGCACAGCTATAGTATAAAATTTCCAGAGAAACTTTGATACGGTTGGACAGATTCAGTTATAAATGCATAAGCTTATTCGGAGCTAATTAAATACCTGAGTCTGAATGTCTCTATTTTGGTTTTTGTCTTGCTTCAAATTTTGTCTTCAGAATTCTCCATTGAGAAAAATTTGAAGTTACTGTAACCAGAAAATATTATTTAATACAGTTTCTTAGCAGATTATGAATGGAATTATAGTCTGTTCAAAAGAAGAATTAAATAGCTTTGGGGAGCACAGCTATCTCGAAATTCTTCTGGTCTCTATATTTCTACTTGGCAAAGTCCAGATTACCACTTTTCTTCTAATTTTTACTTTCTTTCCTGTCTCTGTCTCTCACAAAAGAAGTTGATTATAAGCAGTGAATCTGACTATGCAGTGTAGTCAGTGCATATGTTTTTACCCCTTATTTTAAATAATTACGACAGTCATAGTATTACTTCCAAGCAAAGTAGATAAAGATACAGTTTTTTAATTGACTGTGTTCGTTGAAAACTGAGATACTGCAACAGAAATTTGGTGTTTGGGATAGTTCTTTATTTCCACAACACTTTAACAATTTGCATATGAACTTGCTGGTTTTTTAAAGTAATTCCAGTCTCCAATACCAGATGGCAAATGTCACTGATTTATGAAAATAAGGTATAAATGGTATTCTGCAGCTTTATTTAACCAACAGGTACATCCAGGTATGTTCTCTGTCCAGTGTGTAGACAGAGATCCCAGTCATTCATTTACTGTATGGAGGTACCACTTAATACTCATTGAGATACTGTATAAGGAAAAGAAAAAGCAGTTCATTTGTTGGGCTCCCAGGGTACTTGTATGTCTGCTTCTTTTACTGAAACTTTGACTTACAAGTCTAAAATTCAAAATTTCACCACTTAGTAATGGCCCTTGAATGGGACTGCAGTGGACTTCATTATCCAGATAAATATATTTCAACTGAGGGATTTTCTTTTTCCAATATTATAATTGATGCTGGAAGAAAAGCCAAAAAATCAGCCCAGCCTTAACCGGCCCAGTCTTTTGGGAAGTTCCTTGCTGACTTTTGCAGAGCAGGCAATCTGATTTACTCATAGCATAGGCAGGCATGCACACAGTGAAGGAGAGATGCAGGCAGGCTTACAAAACTGGCAACCTGGTTCTTTCTAACTGGACTGGAGAAAATGGTGCAGAAGTCAATAGGGGTAGTGACTGTTTTGCCTGCCCCATCTTCCAAAGGAAACGCTGCTCCTGGCTTCCTAGCACAACTGCTCTGCTTCACGAGAGGCGTCCAGCTGAGCATTTGGTCATTCTTCATGGAAGAGGAGAGGCAGACTCCCTGCCTGGAAGTGGAGTAGAGTGTTACAGGAAAGCACACGAGCTAAAAGAGTTTGGTGTATTTTGAAAAAAGTCTTGCGCAGTGAACAGCTCTAGTTGCTTTTGTATTGATGCCCTGAGTTCCTTACAAGGATTCTCTAACAGCAGTATAAGCATTAGCGTTCTGGTAGTGAAAACAATGCTAATGGTTGCAAATATCCACTGTACAGCCCAGTCGTCTAGATCAGGGACTTTGCTCTTGGGCCCTTCAATTTAGATTAATGAGTTATCAAATAATTTCAGCGCCACTAATTTAATATGCTTTGTGTAATGGCTAAACTTAGAAGTTAATTTTAGCTATCGTTAGGAAAGGAATGACAATACAGAATGTCCTATATTTGTTCTTAAAGTGGAATTCATGTTGGGAAATAATATGTGCATGGTTAAATGTATCCTCCTGGATTCCATAATGAACACCTTTTCATACAAAGTATGTCATTTATATGTTGGGGTTTTTTTAAAAAATATTTAACTAGTACTTGGGGACACAGCTATTAATCTCTTTTAAACAGAAGACTTTTGAACTAAAATTCAGTCTGACAACAAGCAGTACACTTTTAGACCCACACATGGATATTTTCCTATTGATTGTTTATCAGTTGTTCTAACCTGTCTACTTTTCTCTCTTCATATCGATTCTTATCTGTTTTTTTTTCTTTCTTCATATTTATTTTTATCTATTGATTTACACATTTATCACCACTTAGCTGGTCAGCACAAGGTTTTACACTTGGACCTTCAGACATTGTAGCATTCTAATGCATCTCCTCAGCCACAGAGACTGTGCGGGCCATCGTAACCTGCCCACTTGCTCCCTAGAATTTCTAATTAATTTAAGGTTTTCTACCCATAGCTTCAAAGTCTGTAAAGCCCTGGGCCCAGAATAACTAAAGACTGCCTAAATTGAAGGAAGATGGTAGTTGACAGCTATGCTCTTCTAGATCAGTAATACTCTGTAATAGAGGTGCAGCGTAACTGTGCAGCACATTGAATTTTGCCAGCATCTCGTCCAAGACTAAAATTAAAATCCCTCCCCAAAAGAGTATGTCATTAATCTTATCGCCTCTCAGTTCATACAGAATGCACATTTTTTTTTCTTGACCTGTCTTCTCCAACATAAATGTGTATTGTAGCAGCAGATTAACATTGAATTCTGTTGAAAAGCTTTTGGATACTTTAAACGGAGGAGTATTGCAGTGTTCCTAGACGCTTTAGAGGAAGCTCTCCAGGCAGGTAAACCCCATAAAGAACCAAGCCATGCAGCATCAAAATATTAAGCTATTAAAAAGTGCTGGATCATTTTTTTACCTCACAGAACAAGGAAATTATTTCTACATGATCTGATGACATTATAACCATAAGAGACACAAAGAAACGTGCTTTCTGACATCTTTCTAGGTACCTGTTTTGCTAGTACATTGAATTTGGCTTAGATAGCAAAAGTCTCTCCCCCAAGGAATTCATCTGGAAGCCTCTTGTGGTCACAGTAGCATTGCTTTCCATTGCGCAGATGTATGAGGCAAGGCTCCCCCTTTAGTCTCTGCTACTTAACCTAGTCTGAAGCACTTTAAATTTTATAGCTAGAGAAGCCAGATAGCAGTGTGGGCTCCTGACAGGCCAGGGAAAACACACGATTTGGCTTTGCACTAACAGCTCTAGTCCTTCATTCAAAACGGTAAGAATCTGGTCATAATCTCTGGAGGCTACCTAGTACATTTGCTTGTAAGAATTAATTGCAATAAACTGGAAATGGTGCACGTAAGCATGCTCACTTGGCATTTTGTGATAACTGAAACTTGGGATGGCAGCCTGAGCGTGGACTACCTGGAAATGCGTTTGGATGGTGGGGTGGGGAAATTAGACGCAGTTCATCAGGAGTCAGTTTTAGCGCCAAGAGCAAGGAGGTTCGCACAGTCAGAGAATGGGTGTGCTCTCCCTTTGAGGCCAAGTCCACGTTAATCAAAAAAGCGTGCTTCACTGAACGTCTTACCTCCTGAGGGGGGTCTTTGTTACGGATTCTCGACTTTTTATGGAAATTAATATTTTTTAAGTATGGCATGACAGGAAGGTGGGGCCTGAATTCTTGTGAGGGGCTGGCCCCAACTGTGTCTAGAAGCTGCTTCTCCCAGCTGCCAGCCTGACCCACCAGTCAGGCAGCCTCAGGCTTCGCAGTGCAACAGTGCCATTCTCTGACTGCTTGACACAGCAGGATTTGGTCTCTCTCAACCTGCTGGCAACAAGACTAGTTTCAACCTGTTCCTATTCTATTCATAAAGTATCTATCTCCTACAATGTCTGCTCCCAGATTAGCTTTAGCCCACTTGGCTGGAAACCGTTTTTGTTCCGTACCTCCTCATGAACTGATGGGTGACAGACTGAAAGCTGAGGACATCCACGAAGTTACATCTTCTTCCTTGCTAAAGGCACTAACAGTACAGCACAGCAACTCCATGGCATTAGTTGTCATTAAAAAACAACTAATCCCCAGGTGGTGGGAATGCTGGATGTTGTTCAGTGCTGGACATAAGCTGTTTATTGCTTAGAAAATGCTCCATTGGATTTCTTCTCAGATACTGTCTGTTATACCCTCTGTAGAAAAAAAAAATGTGCAGAGTTTACCCTGTCTGTATCAGACCCAGTGTATTCTTGAATCCTACCTCGTAAGAAAGCACCTTGTAAAACTTTAAAAACTTTAGTATGGACTTATATGATTAAAGCTGATTCATCATAAAGTGATGTATTGTTTATTCTGACATCCACTAGAGGCTGTCTGGGCTTTGCCAAAAAAGACTGCTTTTGGAGATCTGGATCTCCTGATCTCACTAGCTTCTCTGTTCACAGTTCTTTTGACTAGATGTCACTGGCAGGATTAATTTCATGATGGGTACATCTTTTAAACCTTCTTCCCAGAACTGTGTTGTAGGATATATCCCAACATCCTGGAGACTCAAAACGACAGACGGGTTTGATGCTCTTGAGCAGTATTTGAGGCTAGGTTGCTTAGACTGAAGTCTACATTGCCTTTGGGGATAGGAGCCTGGCATGATGACTTGACTGACCTATCAGCTGAAAAACAAAGAGTGTTTCAGAGAAGTGGACTCAGAAAAATTTGCAAAGATTTAGTCTTACCTCTGGAAAGATTTGGGACATCAGTAACGGACAGAAACTGGGATATTGTTCTCTTCCTCTCTTTTCTGCCCCTGTTCTTCATCTATTCACTCTCCTTCTGTCTTAACCAAAAAAAATTTCAGTCCAAACTGTATATTATTTTTACAATTTCTATCTAAACAAGACATTGCACAGCAAATGCCATCTCCCAGGAAGCAAGGAAGAGAACAAGGAGCATATTACAGATTTTAATCATGATGAATGCTTTGCAGTCATGCCTCAGGCAAATTCTGCAATGAAAGGTGGTAAGAATCTAGAGACAGTAAGTCTATTAACATTTCAGATGAGTTTTGAAAATCAGTTAGGGTACATTACTCTGAAAATCCTGTCTCACTGCATGATAAGTTTCTTCTCAGTGGCACTTGTTGCTACTTGCTGTGGTATCAGGTCCTAAATGTCAAAAGCTCAGTGGGGAGCTACGGGATTAGGTAGGTCTGTGCCCATGACTCAGTGTTTACAGCATCAGGCTTCTCTGTTAACAGTCTGTGTAATGTAATAAGGAAATAAATGTTGTGTTATCTGATCTTGCTTAAAAAGGAATGATTGCATAATTCAGCAGTTCGTGGTGCTTTTGAGAAGTGTACAAGGTGTTAACATTACTCTAGAAACATAAGCTTATGTTTGTAATAGGTACACACATGTTCATTAGTTCATACAGACTTGTGTGGCATCAGAGCTTGGTCTTTGGGATCTTTGTGTGAACCAACGGTCCCAGGAACATGTCTGGGCTCCCCAGTTGAGATACATGTCCCTGCCCCGTCCCGTGCTTGTATCAAGATGAGACTCAGAACATCACCATCCCTTCTCCACTCTATGCCTCAGTCTTCTGTAAAGCACACAGCCCAAAAGGGTGCTGTGCTGCACCCTCCCCAGGCTGAAACCACCAGATACACCAGAATACAAAGTTTTGCTCAGTTTAGAGATGGGCTCTGTGACTCAAAGCTACCAGTCTGGTCCTTTTTACGGCTCCAAGATTAGGTTGCCATTTCATTCTCATTGCCAAGAGGAGACATTCCAAACGTAAGTTATTCTTTTACCTAAGCTTAGGAGGGTGAGGTGTTGGAAATATTAATAGAGCTCTCATTATCTTCTAACAAAGATTTGTCATGTCGGTACTAATTTATACAGTTCAGCAGCAAAAGCTCCTAATGATTCTGCGGACAGAAAGGAATTATGTACTAACATGTACTTTAATTTAATAGCATTAACTCTAGGAAAAGCAATTTTTTGAAATTTTACCCTTAAGCTGTAGTCTCTGTGGTCTGCTATTGCGTATTCTGTTTTAAAGAAATCTACTGGTTTATAGTTTTAAAATACATTTAACTCTCACTAATATAGTGTTTGGACATCTGCCAATTCCACTTTAGAATTTCAACTGATAAAGAGCGTAGCCAACAAATAGGTGCATATTTGTTACAAATCCAAGGATAGGCTTTGTCACCTTAGATAAGATGAGATAGGTTTTGTTTGTATGTCGTCTTCTAGTTGTAACTAGAGAAACACAAATAGAAGAAAAAAACTTTCTCTGTTGCCAACTTAGTTTTTAAAATATTATTTTGAACCTCATTTTTCAGTTTGTTTTCAATACAACACTGATTTTAAAATGGAGTAATTAAATTGGAAGCCTTAAATCGCATAATCATGAGTTCAGTTTTTAAAATTATATCAACAAATTTGTTTCTTGCATTTTCAAGTCTCTTTTAAACATATAAGCAAAAAACCACAAAAAGCAGATTAGAATCTCACTGCAGTGAGAAATATGTGGATTCTTCTCTATTTCTTCTTAGAAAACTTTGCATTCTGACATAAATAGTTTGGGTTTGAAATTCAAATAAGCATATATGAATATTTGACTTTTGACTTTCAAAAAAGCATATACCGATGTTTATGCATCAGTCTTCACAGTAATCTGAAGTGTTTAAACTTTAGAAGGATGGATCTTGTGGGTATTTAAATATTCTTTGCCTGTAGTTAAATGATAAAGTTCAGTAAGTACAGTTTGCATATGGCTTGAAAAGTTTTTTTTCTAGATTCACTCATACATAACTTGTATCGCTGGCATTTAGTGAATTGTGGCTTGCAGTAGAAATGAGGAATGTTACCTCTTTAACTATAAAATAACTGTGTCACATATGCAGTAAGCATGAAACACACAGTGGACTAATGGGACTTGTTATTGATGATGCTGAAAGCTAAATAACCATTAGTAGTAAATCTTATGAATAGACTCTTGTCTTTCATCTTACCTCTTCAACCAGATAAAAGACACAGAGGCTATTTAGATGTCATAAGAATAGTTTGTTGAAATCCCTTCAGACTTACAAAAAAAAAAATCTCTCTTCATGTTGCTTAGTGTTTTGTTGCATTCAAAGAAATGCCAGTATGCTAGTGCTGAAAGAAGAATAGAACAGAAATCCAGCATTATGTGTGGTTTTAGGCTTGTTAAAGATGCTGTTGAGTCGAAATAATGTGCATCCTTTTTCTGCAGAAATCTCTTAATCAGATTTAAAAAATATATAGAAAAGTCACTAACATTGAAAATTTGTAAGAAGCGCTGTAAGGCCATATTAAAATAGAGTGCTTTGAATGTTTGTATTTTTTTAGTTTTGTTGCCTAGACTATCACGAATAGTTTTAAATGGTTGTATCAAATTAGAAATATCTGACTAAAAACTTTTTAACAAAGATACTGACTTTGTTTGAAGCCTCTATTCATCTAAGCATAAAGGAGCTTAAACATTTAAGTAGCAACTTTCTCAGTTCTAATAATAAAATACACTGAAGGTGATTGTAAATTGTACTTGTCTTTCATACAGAATAGTTAGAAGCAGAACATATAATACACAGTTACCAGTTGATATGAAAGAATTATTCAGCTCGGAGATCCTGCATGGTAGCTTTGGGAACAGTAATTAAATTGCAAGTATCTCTTGTGAAATTCTAGTTAAAATAAATATTTCCAGATTTGTGGTGGATATATATTAATAATCAAACAATGCCTAATAATTAATCATACAGTTTTTTGTTTTATAGGGAGCAGACCTGGAAAGCTCTGGTGTTAATACCATGTTGCTGGTACATTTCTTTGGAAAAGAAGGAAAGGAAAAACTTCGCTATTCTGAGTTTTTCAGGTATTTTTTTCAGCTAGGCAAGCCTAACAGCAACCAGTTCTATTCCTACCCCCTCCACTTTGCACCAACACTGGCATTAATCTGACCTCACACTGAGCTGATTCAGAAAGTTAAGCAGGTAATCAAGCAGGAGACTATTCATGATTTTGCCTGTTTAATTTCTAGTTTAGCTCCTTGAGTCTGCTGTCTGCAGGAGGAGTTGAGCACCATGATAACTCCAAAGCAGCAATGAGCCTGGAGGTCCCGAGGGTTGAGACTACCATTCTTGGCAGCTGTGCCATAGCATACCTTTAGACAATATGATTCATGAGTATTTTTCTTGATCAGATCACCAAAAAAGTGACTGCTAATCAATTCTTTTGAAGCTTTTTAGCTTTTCCGAGCTGAGACGCTCCCCTCTCCATTACAACTGTCATGGTAGGCAACAGGCAACTTCTCTTCCTGTTTCAAATTCCAGCTTCTGTTGAAACTTTACCTGTGCCTTTTCCTTTACCCTTTGAATTACTTTTGCAATGCAAGATACTTCGTGGCACTTATATCAGAACTGAGAATTAAGTCATGGCAAACACCACATCAGGCTTAAACTGCAGTGGAATACCAAATGGCCATTGCTTCCAGAAACATAGCATTGTATGCTCATCTATTTCACTGTAAGCTTTGCAAAATCTGAAGTTAATAGGAAGTTCTAAGTCTGGTGTAGGGAATTGTTCTGTTTATACATCACATACATGTCAGAAAGATGGTGTAATCCTCATCTACATCAGAGTACAAAATTCTGCTGTGGTTGCTTTCAGCTTGAAAACCCAGCCAGGTATCAGCTGTTAGTGTTTTAATGGGATGAGATTCTTTCTTCCAATGTTTATTTCAATCAGTAACGATGACCACCACCTACACAGCATCACAACTTAACTGGTTAATACTCTCTGTTACTTGGGAGATCAATTTCTCCTGTTAGTATGAACTCCAAACACATCTTGCTATGTGAACTTGGGCCCAGAATCACATTTTGAGATAAATGGAAGTTAAGTGCCTAAATGCCTGTGTGAATCTTGACACATGTCCTGTAGCACAACATCAAGAGAAGATTATCTAAATCAGTATTACCTTTTCTACAAAAATGATCAGTCATTTACAGACTGCAAAAATAAATTGGGATAATATGTTTTACTTCAGTCTGTAGGGGGATCTGTGTCAGCGCTCTTAAAAACGAATGTTGTGGCAATCAGTAGATGTTTGGGGAAAGCCAGAGTAGAAAAGGAAGAGTGGCAATTCTTCTAACACTAAAAAGTGTTCGGCTCCACTGGCTCTGGCGCACACTGGTCTCCAAATAAACAAAATTTCTCTTTTGAAGACCTTGACTCAATAAGAATCTAAGTGAGTAAAATAAGTTTAAGGTGCCTTCAGCTCCCTTTCTATAAATACCAAAGATCCTCTCAATGAAACAAAAGGCAGAGAGCACCAGTAAAAGGTTGTGTTTGCATATACAGTGTAAACTGAAAAGCCTCAGGTTTTAGATAAAATCCTACATTGACCCAATGAGGCATGACATTGATGAAACTATGTACCTAGTACATTCAGAACGTGTAGGTTAAAGACCTTTGCCTACCACACAGATAGAGGCCTGTAATCAAAATCAAACTCCCACATCTTGCTCTTAAAATTTGTGGGATAAGTGTAAGGTTTAATGCAGGTAATTTTTCAACAGTGGCAGTTATGTTTCGTGGAGCTGGAATGTGCCTCTTTATCACTGCGTAGACACTCCATCTCAGTTGCAACGTGACAGTGAAGTTTGTTTAACACGCGGAAAGGTGAATAAAAGGATCACTGTCTTTTTAACCTGTGTGAAGATATCACCTTTCACATGATTTTATTTGCAAGTAAATCAAGCACATCATTTCTGGGTTCCTATTGTTCAGAGAAAATGTGATTTCTATCTGATGGCCTCTCATAACATTTTACCTTACGTGGGAAGCTATTGTTGGCTGTTTGATCAAAGGTGCCACACTGTTTTTACAAGAGATGACTGATGAGCTGTACAGACATAGATCATTGTCAAAAGCAGAAAATAATGATGGCGAATGCTTTTATCATTTTCCAAGTTCTTGCCTAGAAAGCTTTTCCATTGATCAGCGTAGTACCTAGTAGAAAGTAGGGTGATTAGGTTTGATTAGGACACACTAAAGCTTGTCACATTAGTTAAATACACAGATATTGCTGTGCTGTAGAGTCATTAAAAGTAAAAAAAAAAAAAGAGTGGGAATGCTTTCTTTGTGAAATTTCACTGTACTTACATGGGAATTCAGAAAGCTGAGACTAGTGTTCTCACCTCATTACTTACATATATTTTCCTCATGCTTCTTCCTTTTCAGTTTGGCTGATGTTTAAAAAATCCTTTTGTAAGTGTGCAACCATCTCCATCTGTATCTACGTGTACTCAAGTGGTGCCCGACCCTTTTGGCCCACATGAAACATTTGAAACGTGTTGGACAGCCACAGTCAGTGTATCAAGGCAATTAATTTGCCTTGTTCTCCTTTCTTTGCATTCAGATGGCACACAGAAAATGGAAACCATCTACATCTCTTCAGGCAATGTGGAGCTGATGTAAGCCAGCTCTTGTGCCTGCCTTCCTACTGCCCTGGACACAGGAGGCACACGCAGGGAGAGAAGATGGTTAAGCATGCGGTGCTCCATCTGTCTCCACCTGGTGCACGGTTCTTTGGAAATCATAGCTGGGTGATACACACAAGGACAATCCTCAGGCTGTTTTTTACTGGTCATAAGGAATTAGACCATGAAACAGAATATCAGATCACTTTTCAAACTTCCTTGGGCTGCCAGGAGCATGAAAGTAAAGAAGCAGCCTTTTCATAGGTATTTTGTGACACCGGTCAAGCTCTTTTCTCACTATCCTCCAGAACATAGTCAAAACAGCAGCCAAAGCTGCTGCTGTTCATTCTCTGCTGGGACCCCTCCTTTGTTCCGCAGGGGCTGCATAGAAGCAGCAGAAGCAATCCAGGAGGCACGCCATCCTGTGTGTTTCCCGTAGAAACAAGGTGGTTTCAGAGATACTAAAGTAGGACTCAAGGAACACATGTTCAGCTCCAGACTGCTACATGGTTTCTTGCCAGTTGTCCTTAACATAAGGACAATATTATAATTATTAATAATAATTCACAACTTCAAAAGCTACAGCTCGTTTCCCTGGCAAAAGTTAGGAAATTTACATCAAAATTATTCCGGAGTATGTTTACGTAGATCACTAGTAAAGGTGGTGCCTTCTGGTCAAATGCAGCTGGAATCATTCTTCTCCTGTATCAGTTTAAGAAAACATAAAACAGTATGCAGCAAACCTAAAATCATGTAACGAAGAAAGGTAAATTTAGTACAAGAAGCTGTAACCAGGTGAGACTTTCTTCTCGGAAGACCTAAACAAATTTCTGTTTCAGATGACCACCACTCAGTTGCACACCTCAACAATAATGTCATCTTCTAATACCAGGCCCCATCTTATAGAATGTCAGATTTCAAACATGAAGTCAGAAGTTCTTTGGGATTCCAGGCTTTTTTTTTTCTTATGCATAGCAGTTTCCCCTGGTTTTTGAGACAGAAATAATTTTGGTCTTTTCCTTCCAGAAAATGTTTCACTTGTCCTTTAATTTCCACCTATATTGTATGTACTGGTTTTTATTCTGAGTAGAAAGCTATTTAGTTTTCTAGGTATAGCAAATATTTCTTCTTGACAGCCACTGTTTTTTTTCCCTGAAAAAGTCCCTTACTGATCTTGTTTAAGTATGTCTAATCCCGAATAAAAGAGGAGACAGTAATTCACTCGCGAAACAGTTTACGACTGCTATTATTTTTTTCTGTAATCTGTCCCCAAGCAAACTTAAATCTCTCGCAATCTCCTTGAGAGGAAAAAAAAAAAAAAAGAAATGCATAGAGTATGGAAAAAATATTCAAAAAAATTTCTGATTGTTGTATTTTTTTTCTGGGATGGCTTACAGAAAAGTACTTCCAGGTATGGTTAAACAATGGACATCTTTTAATCATATAAGGAGAATTAACATTTCAAATCCAGTTTATGGCATTTTCTTATCTGATTTGTTGCTTCCAAATTTCTCATCAGTTAATAGAATTTTGCATCAGAAATATTCTTTAATATTGGTTTCTTTTTTATTTCCTGCTTTAGCTTGAAGGTCACAGACTGTATAACTGTACACAAAACATGCCTCTCCCTACCAGTCCTGTTTCTTTTCCTTCAGTATTTTGAATTCCTTGGTACATTTCATTTGAATCCTTTAATTTAAGAAACCAGAATGATCCGGGCTGAACCTCACTGCTAGTACTGACATTTGTCTGGTGCTGTTCTGTGTTTGTGCCAATGCATGGATGCAGGATTGCTTTCAGGTAGCATCGTCAAACAGTTGTGCTTTCACTGTGATGATAGCTTGTACATTTTCAATGATTTTCATCTAGGGATTTGGAAGTGCCTTGCAGAAATAGAGTATGATTGCCTCCTTATTTGTCTCTGTACCTACGCTTGTATCTCTGTGTGTGTCTGTGTGTGTGTGTATGTATATAGACCCCTAATACACGTAGAGATTATATTTCATGCAACCAGGATCAGACAGTGAAGAAGTGGAGATGGAAACAAAATCTGGCTTTGTGATTGTATATTCCTATTGTAACTGAATCTGAATATTTCCCAAATATTTAGTAACGATTTTGAAAAGATTTTGTTTCTTCCTTTCCTGTATGCTTAGCAAAGGAATAGCTTGCTTAGTTTCTACAGAATGCTTATAAGTGGAAGTGAGTAGTTCTGTTACGTTTGGAAACACTGAGGACAGTAAATCAAAGGGAGTTTTGCTTGTAATTCAGAAAGTGGTGAGATTAACTGTCTTACCGCTTCCAAAACTGAATTTACAAGCGTAGATCTAAATGTTCTCTAAAGGTCAAGCCTTATTAGATTTTCTATATTCTGTTTTGAAAGTCAGATTTGCAAAAAGGCAACCTTGCAGCTGGTTTGCAAAAGTCCTTTGGTGCAGAGAGGGTTGTCATGTCTTCAGAAGGACTTCAGTGCCCAAAGAGGAGACGAAGCAGAGTACAAATGCCAGGGTGGTGTATCCACCACTATCTTTGGTGTTAAGTTTCCTTCCTGTAAAGCAGTGCAGCAAGAACTAGTCAGTTCTGTATTCGCGTGTTAAAGCTCTACACAGACTTTTAGTTCAGGTCAAGAGGTACAGGAAGGAAAATTTTCCCTAACCTTTCCTTTTGTGTTTCATTCTACTGCTCTGTGTTGCTAGCACTTAATTGCAACATCTCAGGTTGGAGGGGGAATAGCTGCATTCCCGAGGTCTCCTCACTTTTATTACATTTTCACTTCTATTAAAGCTGAGTTGCCAAAAAGTCTTGAGAGACTCCCTCTTTCTGTAGATCTGTAAAGCACATTACAAAATGAGGGATAAATCCTGATAAGGTTCCTAAATGCTGTTGTAACACGATAACAAATTTGGCCATTGGCCTTCAACGTCGGTGTTTTAGAGAGTGTGGATAAAACAGACTATCTTAAAGTACTGTCTGTTCCCAGCCTTTTCCCCATCTTACAAATTTATGATTTACCTTTCCTTCTTGTTATTTGGAAACTTAGGGCTTGCTTTTATTCTCAAGCTACTATAGCATAAGAGTATTCCCAGTGTAATTATTTTCGAATTGTAGAGCACATCTACAATCAGAATCCTGTTCCCATAGTTGAATTACAGCTCCCTTCAAAGTCCCCAGCCAAGCTCCCACTGACTTTGGGAGAGCAGGGATTTCATCCCAGTACTTGTTTTTCCTAATATCTGGAGAAATTTGTGAGGAATTTCCAGCTGAAACTCATCACACTGTGATCCAGAAGATACCAAAGCAAGTATCCCTAGTGGTGTCTTGACATTTAAGTATCAAGTTCTACTTCCTAACCAGAAAGTTATTTTTAATAACTTTTAATAACTCTCACTTAAAAAAAAACTCATTAGGATTTTTAACTCTCACATCTGGGAATAAGAGTGACCTAGAATGCTGATGTGATGATTCATAGTATTTTAATTTTTGTAATATGGGAGACTATTACATATAAATTCTAAATTGCACATTTCAGCTGCTGCTCCAAGTATTATTTGGTACGGCAGGAAATCTTCCCACTCTGACTTGCCAGGAGCAAGCCTACAAGTTGAAATGAAATATCCATTAATTTTTTTTGTACCTAAATAAGTAATTCCTGCTCTCCTCCCTAATCTGCGCAGTGCAGCAAGATGCATGGCTCTTGTGCCGCAGGAAGGGTGCAGTGTCATTGCCCCAAAGCAACTGGAGTGGGCAAGAACCTAGACCTGGGAAAAGGCAGTGGAAAACCCACAGTGGGGCTGGGGAAGTCTAATGCTTCATGTGCTGTCTGATTAGAAGAGAGTGGAGAAGCAAGAACACAAGAAATATGCCACAGCCAAACCCTCCACATTCCTCTTTGGTTTTGCTGCACCCTTCAGCTGGCTGATGTGTGTGGCTAGGTGGGCCACCTGCTCTTTCCTCAGCGTGTAGAAACGCTTGGTCTTTCAGCTGTCCTACCTTTCCTGGGTATGGCTAGCAGGCAGGTCACTGAGGGTTTTCTGCTTAAGTACAGCAAATGACTGAGCATTAGGTCCCCAAGATAAATAACTCATACTTTCGATAACAGACCTTAAGTCTGTTGCAAAATGTGTCCACCTTTA